ATTCAGAATCAAAGCAGTCCTTGTCCTATTGCAAACAACGAGAGCATTCGAGATGAGAGTCATGAGACACACAAACATATGGAAGAGTGACAGACAGACAGACAACAAGACAGACAAACACACAAACGGAGAGACAGACAGACAACCAAACAGACAGACAAACAAACACACACACACATGGACATGGCAAAGCAGGGGGAGGAGGAGGGGATAGACAAACAAATAGACACAGACATGGCAAAGGAGAAATAAGAAGAAGAAAATATGGTAAAGGAGGAGGAGGAGGGGACAGATAGATAGACAGACACACAAACAGACGGGAAGACATACAACCAAACAGCCAGACAGACAGACACGCATACACGGACAGACAGACAAAGTGAAAAACGGACAGGCAGACAGAAAGAAAGACAGACAGACAGACAGACAGACAGACAAACAAATAGACAAACGGATAGAACGACGGACAGTCAGTCAGACAGACAGAGAAACAGAGAAGAAGAAGAAGAAGAAGAAATCAATGGTGAGCTCGGAGGCGTGCTTCTTTCGTAATGCAGATAATCGAAGTCCAAGCAGCCTGTTCATCGGTCGCTGTTCGCCACACCCTGAGCATCGACGCCGTGAGGGTCATCCTTTTTGTCTTTTTTGATGTGTAGGATTCTAAATCCTGCATGGAGTGATAGTGGAGATGCTTGCCCTTCATCAGCAACCTCTGATTCTTCGTTCGTGGGAGAATGTGCACCCTAGGAGGATCTAGTTCAAGGAGAATCGTGCACCCGAGAAAGTCCCATGCATTCGTACCTTCGTCTTTCCTCACTAGTTTTAACGACTCTGGGTAGCATGTTGCGAATCTGTCAAACAATGCACTCGCCTCCTGGTAGCTAGCACGTGTCGCCCTATCCACTACAGCGACAATTGAGACGCCATCCACCATTCTAATTCCGGCTATCAATCGCCGGTCATTCCCAAGACTGCTAAGGAAGTCGAATTCAGACTTGGCGCACAAGAGGTTAGCAAGTGCAGGGGACGAGTGCTTACCCATTGGTATACCAAATACTTGCTGGTATACCTTCCCTTCACAAATTGTGAAGGTATGATCAAGCTCGAATCTCAACATGCTGAAGATCATCCGAAAGGTCAAGAAAAGATACCCATCTTCCCTACAGGTGGACCTGGTCATTCTGCAGATCTTGCCCCTCCTGCTGAGCTTCACCCCTGCCAGTCCCCTCTTCTTATGCATGTGGACCAACCAGGTTACCGATGTGATGATATCGCCATGGGGGAGCTTAGCGAACATATCTTTTCTGTCATAGCTCCTCCCTACGATCGTATCCCCAAACTCCGCCACGGCTGCAACCTTCTTAGTCATGACGGCCTTCAGGTTGTCCGTAGCCCGTAGGCTAAAGTGCTGATTATCCGGCAGGGCCATAAGCATATATCTCAAGGCTCTCCCCAGTCTAGAGCTCACTGTCCTGGATGGTTCCGACCACGACGGTGAGATAGGGCGCCATCTTCTGTAATCCTTGTCCTTCGGGATTACATAGGCCCTACCCAGTCTTCCGCACGTCCGCCACGTGGCTACCTGCAGGAGTCCGGCTTCTTTGTACGCAGCCTTCGATTCTACTAATATTCGCTCTTCATCCTACGCCTTGTTTATGAAGCCGGGGTTCCAACTGAACGTCATGCGGAAACCATGAAAGTACAATACTGGACATATTACCAGAGTCGCGCCTCGATTTCTATCCAACGGCACGAGCACCAGAGAACGTATGGCGCGCACGTTGCGGGCAACCTCCTGCTCGGTCACCGCAGATGGCGACGTCATTTGCTCACGGACACATCTCCGGACATCCGCGCCAGACAGTTGTAGCAGATTCTTCCTCCATGTCTTCGGTATCACCTTGATAATGGCCTCTAGGAGTTCCACTGTATTTACGGCCCTACCACACATAACGTTCCTTGAGTTGAGAACGAATCGGTGTACACCTCGTATCTCGTCCAGTCTCGTCCGCACGTGTCCCTGAAACCGCTGTAGCAACGACCTTGAACACGTACACTTCTCCTCGCCATTCTGCAGCTTCTTCTTGTAGTTGTGAATGATGTTGGCAACCGTCCTGCCCTTCGTCTTGACCATCCTCATCCTCTCTATCACGAGAGTGCGGATGGCTTCATCAGGTACGGATATGGTAATCACCTTCGTCATGAAGTCCCTAACCGCACTCAGATTCACCTGGACCGAGTACGGGATCCTCACGTATAATCTCCTTCTTACCTTGACCCCAAACTTCTGCTTCAGTACGCGCGAGATCCGATTCTTCAAACAGTTTCGCGTCGTGCTGCTCGAGAACAAGCCCGCCGTCCTGTATAAGGCTACGAGCTTCCTACTCGACAGCTTGTACATGCTGCGGATCCGCCAAGGTTGCATCAGAGTATCTCGCAGAAAGCGTTTATTCCGTTGTGTGTTGGTCGGGGTTGAGATCAGACTGACGATCCTAAACGCACACCCTGCTTCAATATCCCTCTTAGCCTCCCACAACTTCTTCCTCGTCTGCCCAATTACGGTATAAGTCTGTCCGTATTTCTCCCGCAACTTCTTTCAAGAGCCGACCCATATGCTTCCCGCCTTTGAGGTCAATCTCACTTCTTGCTTCCCATTGATACTGTCTAAGAGATCAATCAGCGACGCATACGATTTCGCCTCATACCGAAAAAAGATAATACCACCGTCCCTGTCATCTCTCCTCCTCCTCAGTCTCCCCTTCCGTCGCTTCTTCGGTCGTGTCCTCACGCACCCGATCGTGTTAAGAACAGGCGAGAACCTATGAATCATCGACCGTTCAACTATTAGCCCGTCCTCTACTCCCGTCACTGATGGCAACACTATATACCTGTTCCATCCATAAAATCTCAGTCACGAATTTAATTTCGGCGCATTCTCTGCCCCACCCGTCTTCGAGCACCTAATATGCTCCGCCCAGCGCGTGATGATCCGCCTAACCGTGCACCCCACATAGAATTTCTTACAAAAGGGACTAACCACTGCGTACACACCTGGTTGGTTAGTATCTACCCGGTGCGGATCTACATACCTCATAATCTTCCTCATCCATGGTACGTGCCCCCGGACGACTAACAGCAGAACCAACAGGGCCAGCTCATTCTCGTCATCTCTCTGTAGCAATGGATGGGCTCCAGCCGCCTCCCTCTTCCCCCTCCCCAAAAAGAGTTCATGGATCCGTGTTGCCGGGGCCCGCGAGGAAAGTTGTCTGCCATCATCACACATCCTTGATCTCGACCCCACCTGGTCGTATAGGTGTCGATTGCTCGTACCGTTCGAAGAAACCTTCGTATGCAAGCTTTGTTCTGCAGCGTGCGATTTGTTCTATAGCTTGCTCCTTGACAATGTACTTTACTCCCTCCTCGTCGCAGATCCTGCGAAGCTCCGTCGCTTTCATGGCACTTAGGGCGCGTGTCTGAGAGAGTGCATACTCAACCAGATCCTCACTCGACCCTCCCGCAGGGCCCACCTTCTTCGGCGTTAAGAAACCTTCGCCATTACCGTCCTCCTCCGTCACTTGTGCTTTCCCCTTCCTCTGCGGTGCCTTCTTCCTCACCGTCCGACTCGTAGTCTTCCCTACGATCGGTGATTTCTTCTTATTCTTCCACTTCAGCTTCTCCAATGCCTCAACCAACTTCTCGGTCTCGTCTCGTACTTCGTCACTTTCGTCGTCGGATGCTGCGATGTAGTTCCTGATCTCTTGGATCATGCGTGCCTTGGTCCATGGAGACCGCTTTCTTGAATCAACTGATGGCTGCTCTACCGTAGGTATCTGAATCGCCAGCTTCCGGTGCGTCAAAATCTTCACGATTGTCGCTTCTAGTCGCGCCTCCCTTGCTTCTTCGTCCCGTAACTTCTCCCCTTCTCTCCTCTCTTCCTCCTCTTTTTTCCTTGTCTCCTCAATCTCTCGCTGCTTTGTCTCCTCCTCTTCCTTCTCCCTCTTCGCTATCCTACGCAAGAGCTCCTTCATCTCCTGATCTTCCTCCGGTCGCTGCTTACTTGCCGCTTGCCAGCAATTGCGAGAGTAATGCCCAGTCTTCCCGCATATGAAACATGTAACGGTCCCGTATGCTGCTGGGCCGCTGTTCGGTCCAGCCAGGGGAGATCCGGGCATGCCCTGCCCCATCAGACCCTGACCTGCCATCCCGTGCCCTACCATGCCATGGCCACCCATCCCGCCCGCATTAGTCTGCATGTTTAGTGAAGTCGTGCTAGTACTACAATCGCGTGTCCAATAGCGGTGCAAATTCGATCAAGCAAGGAATATGTCTTGTTCAGGCTCGGCACCACTCTCAACTTATACAGTACGGAAGAGCACTTGGCCCGTCTCGTTATCGGGAAGAGAACAAGCCGACATAACGTAGCCAGCAGTCTCTCGCTGCGCTTCAAGTATTCCAAGACACTATGCCTCCCGCACGCTATGCCTATCCGTGACTGACATCCGCAGGATGATGTTATCGCCAAGTTGCCGTAGAACCCGGCGGAATCGTCTTAACCCCCGCAGATGCTTGAAGATGAGGATACTCAGCTTCAGCATCCACGACCCGATAGCCATCCCTCCTAATCGCTCCACAACCCCGCACCGCCTACTCCCCACGCACCAGTATCCGGTTCCTTGCTACCGAAGTAGTCATGAACCACGCGACAACGCACACGGCCCAAGGCACATTGATCGTCGCGCCTACCTTGAAATCAAGGGTGAACAAACAGAAAAACACTGCTCAAAGTGGAGGACAAAGCATAACTTCGCCAAAAACACCACAGAAAATCACGCAATCCCTCTACCGGTTTCGACTTGTGCGTGACAAGTCTCTTCAGGAGGGTAAATCAAAAACGATGGGAACATCTTCCCACCTTCATCCTTTATAGCCCCAAAAAATTGCTTCATCATCGATCAACCCATTCTTCCCCTTCTCCCTCTCTCTTCCTCACGTCTTCTTTCCTTATCCCACCGAGTTTCTGACACGCCTGATCGATCATCACTACCAGCGGATCCCAACCAACGCTAGCCATAGCGCGCATTCGAGGAAGCCACGGCGCGAATTCCTTGGAATGCCTGCTTGCGTACTGCACATATGACGGCCCGAAAGAAGAGAACACTGCCTACGTCTACCTTGATATGTATCCGATCGAGGTGCTCATTCAGTCGGCAGCCTTGTTTTTCCATCCGTTGTGCGCGCACCAACGGGCGGGAATTTTTCGAAGGCAGGAATGAGAGAGCCCAAAAACAGAGGGCCCAAAAACAGAGAGCCCAAAAAATCGAGAGGGCCCCAAAAACCAGAGAGGCAGGACATCGGAGAAAGACCCAACCCGACGCTTCCCATTTTTGGCCGACGCGTGCCCAAATGCTTGGTACAATAGTGCCCCAACGGAATGCTAAACCTTTTTTGTTCCCATCCCCAAAAAATTACTCGCAGTCTTCCTGCCCACCAGCTCATCGCTCCTTGTTCATTTTGTTCCCTGGAGGAACAAGGTCGAGCAGGCTAACCAGGAGAACAACGAGAAAACCAGTCAGGAGTACCCAGAGCCAAAAATTAACCCGAAAGCCCATCTCCCTCCATCCTCAAAGCGCGGTTCTTCCCATCAGGCGGGGGTAAACCTGGGTGATCCAAGATCTCCAGGGACCCCCAACCACTTCGGCAAAACGAGCCAAAGATCCGAAGAAGAAGAAGAAGAAGAAGAAGAAGAAGAAGAAGAAGAAGAAGAAGAAGAAGATATGGCAGAGGAGGAGGAGGAGGAGATAGATATGTGGGGGGGAAGGAGGAAAAGAGGAAGAAGAAGAAGAAGAAGAAGAAGAAGAAGAAGAAGAAGACGATATGACGATGGAGGAGGAGGAGGAGGAGGAGGAGGAGGAGGAGATAGATATGGCGAGGGAAGGAGAAGAAAAAGAAGAAGAAGAAGAAGAAGAAGAAGACGA